TTGTGCGTGTATCCAAAGCAGAATTGCTTACTTGACATTCCTTACATTTCCCATGGACTTGATAGCTGCGGCAAGGAAAATTTTCACCTCAGCATCCGACAAGTCTGTCTCGGGACCGAGATCTTCCTTTGCGCTGTTTAGAGGCCCAATGTCGAGCGTCTTGGCATGCCGAGACCAGCCGGTACTGCCGCCGGCAATGGCCTGGAGGGCAGCCACATGGGATTCAGCTTCAAGCCGATCCAGTGCAATCGCGAAGAAGGAGAAAAAGACGTCGTCCAGTACGTTGCGGAAGTCTTTGCACACTAGACGCGCTTGCTTCACGTCTGCGCGAGCGAGCTGAGGCAGAATGAACTTTCATCTTAGTACGTATAGAGAGTCCTTACGCTGTTCCCGACTTTGTGCTGCAGCTCGAGAGGTAGGTTAGTGAACATGAGAGCTGTGGGAGAGTGCTGTTGATGGTTGTGAGCTTCGATGCCGCGGGGTAGGAATATTACCGAGGCCGATACGCCGGCTCAAATTGAACGCCGGCCGGTCAACCTCGGTATGGTGCGGCCGAGACAACAGTTACAAGATATATTGAACAAACAATTGGGATGTGTACACAAGGCCTGCATTGAAAATCGACACTATCAGTAAGCTGGAGAAAAACAATGACCGTGCAGTTTGAGGACTTGGCAGCGCAGACATCCCAACGCTGCAGGTGTTCCGCTTTCATCCTGTCGGGGAAGGTTTGTTATTTCAGCTTGAGATATTGAGTAGCGTACGTTGAATCATGTGTCCCCCCAAAGCATTGTTCACCTTCAACATAGTGCAGCAAAGAATTGTCTATATTCCGCAGCGCTTCTTCCAAATAACTGGCTGCAAACTCTTCAATCATTAATAAAGAAAGGAGCCATCAGTAACAGAAATAGAAAAGGAGAAATGTAAAAACGTGGAAAAAAACACACCTTTACGCCATTTAGGCTGTTTGAGTTCCTTGTTGACGAGCTTCCGGAGGTTTTTCAGGTAAAAAATAAACTTCTTGTGTGTCTCAAGTGGAATGTGCACTGCGTGCTTTGGCGCATTTTGCCGGGTGCGCAGAGCAGTCGAAACGAATATTGCAAGACGCTGGGCCTCGCAAACGTCGGGCCACTATAGAGAGTTGTTTAATTGAGTTTGGATCTGCAAGGATCTCTCGTACGCACCTCCAACGGAAACTCCGCAATTTGGCCAGCAAGTGTAGCCACGAGGACGTTGGCTTCAGGCCGCAACAATGTTCATCAAGTTGGCAGTGGGGGTCTTGCGGAGGTTGCGGGAGATTTGCGTCGTTGAAAAGGGAGATTTGGGGTACTAAGTTGTGGGACTGGTGACATGTTCGTTGCGGTATTAGGGATTACTGTACTTTTTCGACCAGTCACAAAGTTTTTTTATTTTAGATCTGTACAAAAAATCGCTATAAATCTTGTATAAATCAAAACAAAATTTATCGGCCTTCTCGGTCAAAAATTGATGCGTACTTGGTCGAAATAGTACAGTGTTAGAAACAGTGAAACCCCTGATAAAAATCTTGTGTTTTTTGGCGTTGCTTATCGGCAGAGGCGTGCGACGATCTCGACAAACAGGATACGGTCACGTGCCTGGCCATCCGGGCTTCCCGGTAGCTATAGACTTTCAAAAGAGTTCTGATGGTGTTTTTTGTTGCACTGGCATCAGTCTTATTAGGCAGAGGCGTGGTACACAATAATAAACTAGTAAACACCACCGACCGCCCCCGGGCCCAAATAAATCCCGTGTATGGCCGAGCCCAGCCGATCAATCCCCATGTATGACTGAGCCCGATGGCCTAGAAGGATGGTATAAATGTAATTGGTGCTCGTGCAGTTGTAGTTAATTCTGACTTGGAATAATTTGGATCTGGCTCTGTCATGCATATGCGTGGTTGAAAGTTAATCAATCGCCCGGACTTAAAAATGCGCTGGAGGCCATCACACCCGGCCATCATCTCGAAGGTGTCCGGATCAATGATGGCTTCGTGGATCTCGTGGTTCTAGTGAAGCATAAGTTGACAGTAAAAGAATGAAGTTGAAGTTGCGCCAGATCAACAGGTTGTCGGTTTAAGTTTGTACGGCTTCTGTGCCCTGTCTTTCACCCGTCTTGAGCTCGCCACAAGATCACGGAAGCTCCGGCGCTGAAAGGCTGGGTACAAGTCCGTCGCGTCGAGATAGCTCCAGACTAAGCCTCCAGTACTGTTGCATTGAAGTTGCAATTCGTTCAATTCGTTTGGTCACGCAGTTGAACCTCGGCAAGACTGCCAATAATTCTTGCTCGATTTTTCGGATATTCGATGGAATTTCTTTTTGCCAAAAGTTCATACGACTTGAACGAAATGCTAAAGTACGTTGCGTGCGCAGGTATTATCGCTGCGCGCCAACTTCTATAGTTGTACTTATTACTTTCCGAAGCCCATAGTCCGCGCAGAGATTGTGCGAAACCTGAGTCTGACCCGATGGGGGCGGCGTAGCGAGCATGGGCGCGTACATATTCGCGAATTCGTTCATTCGTAATGAATCTAGCAATTGTTTACCGAAAGCTCTCCTAAAGTCCTCGGTTGCAAACTTAGACGAGTCGGGACGCAAAATCAAATGTGTAAATGTATGGGTATCGACGTATATAAACTTCTAGTCGAACCAGTTTTTTGTATGGCGAGGGCCACCGGCCCACCAGATAGGCGGGAATAAATAAGAGGAAAAAGAAAAGACAAGGCCACATTTATCCCCTGAACTCGCTGCCGCGCGAGCGATCTCTGTAATTATGAAACGAACCCGAAAGCGGATTCCCATTATTTGGTTCTTTTCAACCTATCCCAGCTCGCACTCTCGACTTCGACTGATGATGAATACTCTCTCGTCCGATTCCCCGGCTAGGAAATTTTGGAGAGAACCAAACGGTTCCGCGGGTACCGCTTGCTTTGGTGATTAAAGTTACACTGGGAACTGAGACTGAGACATTGATAAAGCTGAGATCATTCAGGGGTTGGCCAAAAAAACTGAAAGTGGAAGTTGAAGATGTTGAGAAGCGATGAGAATCTGTAGGGACCATGAGTGGGGGTTGGAGCGCGAAAGTATCCTGCAAGGAAAATCATCAGCATCGTTTGTGAGAGGTAAATCGAATTACAGTCACCGTGAATGTGGCCACCTTCGTTACAGCATTATGTATTTGGCGTTGCTGGCATACGAGCTGTTCCTGTTGCGCCGCGAGTTGTATTTGCTGCGCCGCCATTTCAGCCTGCTGCACTTCGACTCTTAGCGCCGATGCAGCCTGAGAGTTTGATCAAAACTTACAGTAAAGGAACCAAGATAGAACACGAACTAAAAGGTCGCGGTACGCGTAGTCCAGCTGGGACTTGAACCGCTGCAGCGTGCGTTCGTTGCGGTTGAGGTGCCGGATTCGTGAAAACCCACGGGCGCCAGCAATCTTTTCCATGGAGGGACGGATGTCGTGCAGGAGCCTGCGCAAGGCAACAGGTCAGTCTTCATTGTAGCTTAATACTTGATCAGCGGCACATACGCGGTGAAGCGCTCGATACTTTGCAGCATCGGCGCCGGTATCGCCGAGGCATCGGGCACCGCCTGTGCAATTATGTCTAGGATCTCTTCCGCGCGGATTGCGATATTGCATGCTTCGGACTTGTTGGACTCCGCGCGCTGGATGCATTCGTGTCAGTGTGTTGCATCGCCGCAAAGAGAGGCTACTCGTCACTTGTGCGATGTCCCAGAGGGCAAGTACTCCTCCAACGGCGCCCTTCAGTGGCGGGAAAGCATCTGCGGACTCTTTCAAGGCGACAAAGGAGGTCGAAAGGAGATCTGGTAGCCTGAGAGTGGCCCGGGGTTTGAACTTCACAGTTGGGCGCGCCTGTGGCTTCCTTCCCCGCAAGGGGAAAGGGAGCCGCATACGGGCACTTGCTGGTGGCCGTACGTTTTATATTGCCAGGTCATGGACTGACGGTCTGTAAACGGAAAAGGGTTACAGCTCAGAATCTCGTTGCACAGCCTCCCGACATCCTGTCATTGCATGTATCAACTTTGATGGAGCTGCCACTGCCTGCCAGCCACAACACGTCCCGTGGTGCCCAGAAGGAGACCTCATACTGTGTCTCTCCCTTCGGGCCCCCAACATGCTTCCCTGCAAGGCGCAGTCAAGAAGCAAAAACTCGCGAACTTTCAAGATCCGGCGCGGAAACACAGAAGCCTACTACATATGTATGGGGTTACGTTAACGTTGTCTTCACTGTTCAGGAGCGCCGTCAGCACTAGTTCGGCGCCTCGCACATCACCGCTGGCCTGGCGCTCAACGTTGGCAACTCGTCCTTAGCGGGCTGTTTACAGCACTCGACGGCTCCATCGACACGGTATTAATATTCGTGGCGGCGGCCAAAAGCCCTGCTTCGCATTAGTACGCAGTCGCTACAGCACTTGAAAGTTCAACAGCTTTTCATCAGATTAAATGGTCAATCCGAGTCATCATCATGGTAAATTTAAAGACTGTGTGAACCTCATATAAATCGCGACATGATCAACTGCGCACACAATCAAAACTCTCACCGTGACATTAAATTTGGAATTTGCTCGAGTCTGCGTTCTTCAAAGTACCTAACTCCCACATTATCAAAAGGTTAGTTATGGGGGGCGCCAGAAAGCGCGAGGATTGCAATGTTGAGAGGGAGCCAGCCTGAACGGCTCAAGCGTTCAAATTCTGGCAGCCGGACAAACACTTATCCGGTTTTGTGGCAGTCCTTACGCCATAAATATGCCTTCGCACTGTGTCTGCCAGGTGCCTTCGCACGCGCCATGTTCCGCCTACTTCTCTAAGTTAAGCTCTTGGCCCCCCTCGCGGCCCTCGCTGGAGCCGAAGTTATCCCCTCAATTTTCAACGGATTTCCTCCGGTCCTGGTGTCGGTAAATATCAGACGCTGTACTACCTCATGCACCCCTCATGCTAAGGTAGAAATATACTGCACTAGTGGCGGAATATCTCAGTCGGTGAGAGGACAGCAGTGCATATGCTGAGGTTCGGGGTTCAATTCCACTTCAGCCATGGCGAAGGAAATCGGTATTTTTGTAGCAGAATCATGATGTTTATGTTGATATCAATGTCGTTTTACAACAAAACTGTGCTGTTTGGTACGAGCCAACGACACGGCACGAGATACTTGTTGTGTACACGAGGACACTGTGTTCATTGTTCGGAGAGTGTTAGGCGTATATCACTATTGCTGTCGGCAGAATGGCTCAGTTAGAGCATCAGCAGTGAGTATGTTAAAGTACCGGGTTCGATTCCCAGTCTGTTTACAATAAAACTCGCTGTCTGGGACGACACGGGAATTTAAGAACTTTGATACAGTCCAGACTCGGCCCAAGTTCTCATACTTTGGTTGTTCCCGAAACCCCCATCCGCGCCGGCCTCGCCCGCGCCCGGTGCACCCGCCTCGCCCACACCCGGACCCTCGCACTCGTAGCTCAGCCTCGAGCTCCCCGAGCGCGCGCACGGGCGCCCGCCGCGCCCCGTCACGCACCAGGCGAGCATGCCGGAGCTCGCGCGCGCGGCCGGGCCCGCGACGGAGCCATCAACAATGTCGCGCGTGCCAATAAATTATAGGTGATTTTATCAGTTTTTGACTGAAAAACGATATGTTCCCAGTGTTACAGCAACAGAACTGAAGGCACAAATTCTTGAACAAGAAATTAGTATGTATACATTTTTCTCACTTGTTATTATTGGTAATATCATATAGGCAGTATACTGCCGCTGCTGATAACACTTCATTTTGAGGTGGGGATTGGAACAGTTGGATTCTAATATTGTAAGCCTTTATATACACGTCCCTCATGAGTACACGAGATTTCTGAACAATGGTAACTTTGCTGCTGGCAGAATGGCTCAGTTGGTTGGGACCTCAAACTGGTTCGGGTTCGAATATTCGAATCCCGATGTAGCCACTTAATGTGTGTTGGCCGAGGGCAGCTTTTTATGTAATTCTCAAATTTTTTTAAATTATCTAAAAAGAAATAATACATTATGGTTTATAACGAACATTCTAAATAGAAGCCTTCCTTTTCGAGTCCGGTCCTCGCACCGTTCGTCCGATCAGTCACCCGTCACTTCATCGTCACCCGTCTCCTCCTCGCCACGTCGTCAACTAGCCGTCCCCCACCTGGGACATCCCGTGCGCGCCACTCCAGGCGAGGGGCAGCACTCGCTCCTACCCACACCAGGCCGAGCTGAGCAGTTGCCCCTCCTCCCTCCGCCACCTCGCCCACGTCCACGTTCTACCTCCACAGACACTGAGTGTTTCACGCTCGGTGTCTTTGACTGCAGGCCAGCTACTGTCTTTGTGCATGTACCACCTACATGGAAGTTCTGCTCGCGTCCTTTACGCTACGCTGTTCGTCGCCGACGGTCGGCCTTTTTCACCGCCACCCACGTCACCACTACGCTCTTTTCCGACGCTCGGCGGTTTCTCACCCGATGTCTTACATCTTGAATGTGAGACAGTGACCGACATCTTCTCTTTACCTGCCACCATGTTGCACTGTATCGCTTCCGGTGCTTTCTGTACAAACCGCCTCCACGGGCAATCAATATTCTATCAAGACCGTGCATTATCAGAGCAATGTCATTGAGCATCGTGCAGATCTCTCCATTTACACGGAGACGGGTCCTCCGCAGCACGGGAGCCTCTACGACCTTGAAGCCTCCTTCGCCAGCAATGGAGGCTCCGATGTGTGCCTCGCCTCTGACTTCTGTGCCATGCAACTGCTTGGCTCTGGATCTCCATCCAGTGAGCTTGGTCTTCCTTCTTCTTTCATTCAAAACTTACCGTCCTGTAGGTGATGGGTCGGGGCAAGTAGTTTATGCTCTTCTTGATGATTCTGAACACGGTCGGCAGGGCTTGACAAAAAACATTGTATATAGCGAAGTGCTACTATAGCTTCCTTGTTGTACATATGATATATCATCCCTCTCCAATATGTCAAACTAGACCCCGTGAATTCATTCACGGGTAGTACCTAGTTATAGAAGATTTACGTCTCACAGTGTCCTGTAACCGCGCTGTCTGGCCACCATCCAGATCTAGTTGTGACTTGATGCCCTAACTCAGCTAAGGATGATATGCTCCTTTTATGCTGTTGGTAGAATAACTCAGTTGGTGGGTGCCTTATGGGTCTGGGTTCGATTCCTAGTTCAGCCACTTCCTGAGTATCAGAGTATGTACAGTTTTTTTCTTTTACAGCATAACTGCGTTTATCCAATGACACAAAATGAACTATGAAACTACTCAGGGTCAGTTGCAATACTTTACTTCCTCCGTAGCGCTTGAACTTGATTTGTTTGTTGTTTGGTCGTATGAGTCGACTCGGTAGTACTCGATGCGGCAGGACAGAGAAGCAGCCACTGCATCAGCCGCACCAGCCGCACGCATTCTCGACATCGGTAGCCTCTGCAGCATCGCCGAACTCTCCTTTCCCGCCCTTAAAATCTGGTGCATGACTGCCATAATGGACGGCATCCACATGCTCGCCATGGCCAACATCCCTATTAACCTCCTCCGCACCCTCCGAGACCTTCCTCCGCCGCGCTACTCTACCGCGGCACGCCCCTCCCCGCACTCTGCAGGCCAAATGGTTTGCGCGCCTGCACTGGCACGAACTTTCGCCCGCGCCCGCCATTGCCCTCGCCAATCCTGGCGCGCTCGACCTCCCCATGCTGCTCTGCCACGCGCACTACGTCAACCTCGCCCGGGCCGCTTACGCCAGCGCAGAACAAGCACGTCTTGTGCGGGCACTATTCCCTACGCGCTGCGTCATTGCGTAGCGCGTGCGCCGGGCCTATGCGCTCGCGGCGGCCGCCTGGTGTTGAACACGGCCCACGTGGAGCACGGACCTCCTTGACCAGGTGCGTCGCCGCTTCCGAATTCCGACCTCTTTCCGCGCTGACTCGGCATCGTGCAGGACATCTTCAAGCACGAGTTACGACAATGTGCTCGCGTACAACGCCGGCAATTGGGTGCCGCGACCGCCACGAACGCCGCGCCCCTTCTCAAGGCCGCTGCGCGCGACACCAAGATGTATCTTGCATGCCGCTTCCCGCCACATGCATGCCCGCTGACCTCTGCTTTCAGTACGTCCGCCCCGATCGATCTGTTTTCAACAGCTGGTGCGTGCCCGCCTCCCCTATGGCTGATGTATGCTGTATCTTAGCGCCCGGTTCGACGACGCACCAAGCACGACGTATGACGGTCTCACACTGAGTTCGAGAAATACAGTGTCGCAGCTTATTTATGCGTCACCGTCGTCGTTTCCGCGTCAGTTGGCTGATCATGAACCGCCTGTCAGCTCGGAATACAACTTCGAGAGGCACGCGCCTGTGGACCGAGGTTGGCCACGTTTGGTCGGGCTGGCGCTGCTTCGTGTCCCGTCCGCGGACCGTGGGGCACAAGTTCGGGATGATGACGCTCTCGTCGGACAACAAGACTGACGACGAACGCGGACTTCGACAACCTCGTCGCGCAGTTCCAGAAAGTGGGTTTTGTGAACAGCTTGGCTAGAGCTCCAACCGTTTAGTTTACATTTGATGGACCCGTCAAACTAAACGGTAAACGGTATCCAAACATTTAATAATCGTTTTAAACCGTTTTAAATGGTATATACAAGTAGAGTACTAGAAAATTGGAACTTATATAACCCCCGCCTTGAGCAGTGGCCTAGGGAGTGACACCATACTGTATACGGCTACGGCCGTGCACTTTACGGCGCCACACAGCTACAGATCTGCCGTCTGTGATAGGCCAGTGGAATATCAGAGGCATCGGCCAGGGTTTGCCGAGCGCTTGACGTGTTAGCCGAGTTAGCCGAGATGCAGCCGTGTTTCTGCACGCCGGGGGTACACCCAAATGAGGATGGTCGGAACATCGGGGAATAGCGCGCGTCGCGGCTGCACGGCTTTGCGTGAAAGCGGCACCGATGGATCATGCCAGAATGGTCAGCAAAAAATACTGTTTATACCGTTTGTTTACTAATTGTTTACCGTTTACCAGACCCTTCAAACTAAACGGTTGGAAATACCGTTTATAAACAGTTTAAATCGATTAAAAACGGAAACGGTTGGAGCCCTAAGCTTGGCGCAGGCGAGCGCGCGGCGACGTTCGTCGTTTCACGCGTGCCCGATGGGGGGTGCGACTTTGGACAACGACGCCGACGCCGACGCCGACGCCGAACGAGCCCGTGCGTGCAGAACAAACTCAGCGGCTGGTTCAAGCCTTCGACGAGCGACTTCACGGCGTCGCTGTTGGGGACGCCGACGGTGGTTTGCGGGCTGCTGGCGGGCATAAACGCGAGCTGTGCTCGGTTCCGAACATTAACCTCGCGCGGCGACAGAATGCATGGTGATTTTCTGCTTAAGCTACCGTGTCGTGGTAACATGTTTGAAGACATCTTCCATGAGATTAGATTGTGTTGTGCCTTTCCGCGGGGTCCCTGGGTAGAATGTACGTCCCCGGGGGAGGGGACCATTGTGAAAGTACAGAAGCGCTTCAAGCGCTGGGATACGGAGTATAGAACACAGAGAGTCAGAGACAGGAATAGATATTTTGCACCTAATAGGTGCATTGAACCTTCGAGCGCACGGTCCGCCGAGATTCTCCTATCCGTGTAAAAAGAAAGCGCGTAAAGATTCCTCACATGTCCTGCGCCCGAGTCGAACGGCCGCGGGTACCTCCGCCAACGTTCCACGAAACCACGCAGGTGGAGCCGTGGTGCGCCGCGCACCAGCGGGACATGAGTAATGCGATGCATGCTGGGTTTCTTGCGTGCAAGTTGCCGTCGTCTTGCGCGCGACAGCGTCGGGGTTATTTTCATCCTTGTGAAAAGAAATCACACTTTGCGCGCCTGAATCGAACGGGTGCCAACCGTCCCAGTGACATTGGGTGAAAAGAATATGGATCACCGGCGGGACGTTAGTGACGCGGTGCTTACATGGGGTTCTGGCGCGAACAACTTGTTGCGGCGCGCGAGAGAACGTCAGGGAATATCTTCATTTCAAAAAAGTTACAAACCTCAGTGTATCAAAATGTCCCACTCCCGAGTCGAACGGGTGCCTCCGCCTACCGTTTTCTATTTTCTCAACATATGGAGCGGGGGTGCGCCACGCACCAGCGGGACGTTAGTGACGCGGTGCGTACCTGGTTCTCTTTGAGTGCAAAGTACGCGGCGCGCTTCGCTTCTGGGTTATCCTTGTAGAAAAATGTTGTCGTCCCAACATCCTGTACTATGTCCCACTCCCGAGTCGAACGGGGGCCTCCACCAAATCTCTGCAGCTGCGATCTAATGCAATATATGGAGCGGGGACGCGCCGCGCACCAGCGGGACGTGAGTGGCGCGGTGCGTGCCGGGTTACGTGCAACTTGAAGTTGTGTCCCGCGCGCGAGAGAGCTTCAGGGTTTCTTCTTTGTAAAAAAAAAGTTTATCTCTGTTGTGAAAAAACAATCCACCTAGACAATTACTATGTTCCGCGCCCGAGTCGAACGGGTACCTCCGCCTGCCGTTTATATATCGAATTCCAATTATGGAGCGAGGGTGCGCCGCGCACCAGCGGGATGTGAGTGAGGCGGTGCGTACCTGATTTTATTCTAGTGCAGGTGCTTATTTTATGCCGTTGGCAGAATGGTTCAGTTGGTCAGCACCTCAACCTGATGTATGTTGTGGTCCGGGTTCGAATCCCGATGTAGCCACTTACGATATGAATTCGATCAACAACTTTTTTATCTTAATTTTAAATTATTCTAGAAGATTTACGTCTCACACAACTTATTTTTACAGTGTCTCCATCCAGGTTTAGTTGTGACTCACCTTGAGCTAAGGATGATATGCTCATTTTATGCTGTTGGTAGAATAACTCAGTTGGTGTATATGCTGTGGTCTGAATTCGATTCCTGATTCATCCACTTCCACATGGCAGATGTTATTGACATAACACTTTTTTATTTTACAGCATACATGTAACTGCGTTTATCCGTCTTTTACAATAAAATTGCGCTATCTGGGACGGTAAACGACACAAAATGAACTATGAAACCATTCAAGTTCAGATTCAGAGTCAGGTAATACTTTACTTTAATACTTCCTCCCGTAGCACGTAGCAGAGCTTGGTTTGTTTGTTGTTTGGTCCTCGGATGCGACCGTGCCGTACTGTTAACGGCAAGTTAACGGTACCACTCGATGCGGCAGGACAGAGAATCAGACACTGCACCAGCCGCACGCATTCTCGACATCGCCGGCCTCTGCAGCATCGCCGAACTCTCCCACAAATACTCCTTCCCCGCCCTCAAACTCTGGTGCATGACTAGGTATTGGACGGCATCCACACCTAATACTAACCTCCTCCGCACCCTCCGAGCCCTTCGTCCGCCGCGCTGCTCTACCGCGGCACGCCCCTCCCCGCACTCTGCAGGCCAAATGGTTTGCGCGCCTGCACTGACACGAACTTCCGCCCGCGCCCGCCATCAACCCGCCATTGCCCTCGCCGACCCTGGCGCGCTCGACCTCCCCATGCTGCTCTGCCACGCGCACTACGTCTACCTCGCCCGGGCCACCCACGCCAGCGCAGAACAAGCACGTCTTGTGCGGGCACTATGCCCTGCGCGCTGCGTCATTGCGTAGCGCGCGCGCCGGGCCTGTGCCTGTGCACTCGCAGCGGCCGTGTGGTGTTGAACGCGGCCCACGTGGAGCACGGACCTCCTTGACCAGGTGCGTCGCCGCTTCCGGATCCCCGGCCTCTTTCCGCGCTGACTCGGCGTCGTGCAGGACATCTTCAAGCACGAGTCACGACAATGTGCTCGCGTACAACGCCGCCAATTGGGTGCCGCGACCGCCACGAACGCCGCGCCCCTTCTCAAGGCCGCTGCGCGCGACACCAAGATGTATCTTGCATGCCGCTTCCCGCCACATGCATGCCCGCTGACCTCTGCTTTCAGTACGTCCACCCCGATCGATCTGTTTGTCAACAGCTGGTGCGTGCCCGCCTCCCCTATGGCTGATGTATGCTGTATTTTAGCGCCCGGTTCGGCCAAGCACGAGGGCTCACGCTGAGTTCGAGAATTACAGTGTCGCAGCTTATTTATGCGTCCTTGTCGTCGTTTCCGCGTCAGTTGGCTGATCATGAACCGCCTGTCAGCTCGGAATACAACTTCGAGAGGCACGCGCCTGTGGACCGAGGTTGGCCACGTTTGGTCGGGCTGGCGCTGCTTCGTGTCCCGTCCGCGGACCGTGGAGCACAAGTTCGGGATGCTCTCGGACAACAAGACTGACGACGAACGCGGACTTCGACAACCTCGTCGCGCAGTTCTAGAAAGTGGGTTTCGTGAACAGCTTGGCGCAGGCGAGCGCGCGGCGACGTTCGTCGTTTAACGCGTACCCGATGGGGGGTGCGACTTTGGACAACGACGCTGACGCCGAGCCCGTGCGTGCAGAACAAACTCAGCGACTGGTTCAAGCCTTCGACGAGCGACTTCACGGCGTCGCTGTTCGGGACGCCGACGGTGGTTTGCGGGCTGCTGGCGGGCATAAACGCGAGCTGTGGTTCCGAACATTAACCTCGCGCGGCGACAGAATGCATGGCGATTTTCTGCTTACTGTAAGCTACCGTGTCGTCGCAACATGTTTGAAGACATCTTCCATGAGATTAGATTGTGCTGTGCCTTTCCGCGGGGTCCCTGGGTAGAATGTACGTCCCCGGGGGAGGGGACCATTGTGAAAGTACAGAAGCGCTTCAAGCGCTGGGATACGGAGTATAGAACACAGAGAGTCAGAGACAGGAATAGATATTTTGCACCTAATAGGTGCATTGAACCTTCGAGCGCACGGTCCGCCGAGATTCTCCTATCCGTGTAAAAAGAAAGCGCGGAAAGATTTCTCACATGTCCTGCGCCCGAGTCGAACGGCCGCGGGTGCCTCCGCCAACGTTCCACGAAACCACGCAGGTGGAGCCGTGGTGCGCCGCGCACCAGCGGGACATGAGTAATGCGATGCATGCTGGGTTTCTTGCGTGCAAGTTGCCGTCGTCTTGCGCGCGACAGCGTCGGGGTTATTTTCATCCTTGTGAAAAGAAATCACACTTTGCGCGCCTGAATCGAACGGGTGCCAACCGTCCCAGTGACTTTGGGTGAAAAGAATATGGATCACCAGCGGGACGTTAGTGACGCGGTGCTTACATGGGGTTCTGGCGCGAACAACTTGTTGCGGCGCGCGAGCCCAGAGCGTCAGGGAATATCTCATTTCAAAAAAGTTACAAACTTCATGATCAGTTTATGGAAATGTCCCACTCCCGAGTCGAACGGGTGCCTCCGCCTACCGTTCAAGTTTTCTAAGCATTTTCTCAACATATGGAGCGGGGGTGCGCAACGCACCAGCGGGACATTAGTGACGTGGTTCTCTTTGAGTGCAAAGTACGCGGCGCGCTTCTGGGTTTATCTTCGTCCTTGTAGAAAAATGATGTCGTCCCAACATCCTACTATGTCCACTCCCGAGTCGAACGGGGGCCTCCGCCAAATCTCTGCAGGTGCGATCTAATGCAATCGCACCAGCGGGGCGTGAGTGACGCGGTGCGTGCCGGGTTACGTGCAACTTGAAGTTGTGCGCCGCGCGCGAGAGAGCTTCAGGGTTTCTTCTTTGTAAAAAAATAAGTATCATTTATCTCTGTTGTGAAAAAACAATTCATTTAGTAAACTATTATGTTCCGCGCCCGAGTCGAACGGGTACCTCCGCCTGCCGTTTATATATCGAATTCCAATTATGGAGCGAGGGTGCGCCGCGCACCAGCGGGATGTGAGTGAGGCGGTGCGTACCTGATTTTATTCTAGTGCAGGTGCTTATTTTATGCCGTTGGCAGAATGGCTCAGTTGGTCAGCACCTCAACCTGATGTATGTTGTGGTCCGGGTTCGAATCCCGATGTAGCCTCTTACGGTAGTTTGAATTCGATAAACAAATTTTTTATCTTAATTTTAAATTATTCTAGAAGATTTACGTCTCACACAACTTATTTTTACAATGTCTCCATCCAGGTTTCACCTTGAGCTAAGGATGATATGCTCATTTTATGCTGTTGGTAGAATAACTCAGTTGGTAATATGCTGTGGTCTGGGTTCGATTCCTGATTCAACCACTTCCACATGGCAGATGTTATTGACATAACACTTTTTTATTTTACAGCATACATGTAACTGCGTTTATCCGTCTTTTACAATAAAATTGCGCTATCTGGGACGGTAAACGACACAAAATGAACTATGAAACCATTCAAGTTCAGATTCAGAGTCAGGTAGTACTTTACTTTAATACTTCCTCCCGTAGCACGTAGCAGAGCTTGGAAGGAAGGAAGGAAATGTATAACCCACGGTGGTCCTTTGTTTATTGTTTGGTCCTCGGATGCGACCGTGCCGTACTGTTAACGGCAAGTTAACGGTACCACTCGATGCGGCAGGACAGAGAATCAGACACTGCACCAGCCGCACGCATTCTCGACATCGCCGGCCTCTGCAGCATCGCCGAACTCTCCCACAAATACTCCTTCCCCACCCTCAAACTCTGGTGCATAACTAAGTATTGGACGGCATCCACACCTACTAACCTCCTCCGAGTCCGCACCCTCAAAGCCCTTCTTCCGCCGCGCTGCTCTACCGCGGCACGCCCCTCCCCGCACTCTGCAGGCCAAATGGTTTGCGCGCCTGCACTGACACGAACTTCCGCCCGCGCCCGCCATCAACCCGCCATTGCCCTCGCCGACCCTGGCGCGCTCGACCTCCCCATGCTGCTCTGCCACGCGCATACGTCTACCTCACCCGGGCCGCTCACGCCAGCGCAGAACAAGCACGTCTTGTGCGGGCACTATTCCCTGCGCGCTGCGTCATCGCGTAGCGCGCGCGCCGGGCCTGTGCCTGTGCGCTCGCGGCGGCCGCGTGGTGTTGGACGCGGCCCACGTGGAGCACGGACCTCCTTGACCAGGTGCGTCGCCGCTTCCGGATCCCCGACCTCTTTCCGCGCTGACTCGGCGTCGTGCAGGACATCTTCAAGCACAAGTCACGACAATGTGCTCGCGTACAACGCCGGCAATTGGGTGCCGCGACCGCCACGAACGCCGCTGCGCGCGACACCAAGGCGTATCTTGCATGCCGCTTCCCGCCACATGCATGCCCGCTGGCCTCTGCTTTCAGTGCGTCCACCCCGATCGATCTGTTTGTCAACACAGCTGGTGCGTGCCCGCCCCCCCCTATGGCTGATGTAGGTTGTATTTTAGCGCCCGGTTCGACTAAGCACGAGGGTTCACGCTGAGTTCGAGAATGACAGTGTCGCAGCTTATTTATGCGTCCCCGTCGTCGATTCCGCGTCAGTTGGCTGATCATGAACCGCCTGTCAGCTCGGAATATAACTTCGAGAGGCACGCGCCTGTGGGCCGAGGTTGACACGTTTGGTCGGGCTGGCGCTGCTCCATGTCCCGTCCGCGGACCGTGGGGCACAAGTTCGGGATGCTCTCGTCGGACAACAAGACTGACGACGAACGCGGACTTCGACAACCTCGTCGCGCAGTTCCAGAAAGTGGGTTTTGTGAACAGCTTGGCGCAGGCGAGCGTGCGGCGACGTTCGTCGTTTAACGCGTGCCCGATGGGGGGTGCGACTTTGGACAACGACGCAGACGCCGACGCCGAACGAGCCCGTGCGTGCAGAACAAACTCAGCGGCTGGTTCAAGCCTTCGACGAGCGACTTCACGGCGTCGCTGTTGGGGACGCCGACGGTGGTTTGCGGGCTGCTGGCGGGCATAAACGCGAGCTGTTGTTCCGAACATTAACCTCGCGCGGCGACAGAATGCATGGCGATTTTCTGCTTAAGCTACCGTGTCGTGGCAACATGTTTGAAGACATCTTCCATGAGATTAGATTGTGCTGTGCCTTTCCGCGGGGTCCCTGGGTAGAATGTACGTCCCCGGGGGAGGGGACCGTTGTGAAAGTACAGAAGCGCTTCAAGCGCTGGGATACGGAGTATAGAACACAGAGACAGGGATAGATATTTTGCACCTAATAGGTGCATTGAACCTTCGAGCGCACGGTCCGCCGAGATTCTCCTATCCGTGTAAAAAGAAACCGCATAAAAGATCTTCTCATGTCCTGCGCCCGAGTCGAACGGGTGCCTCCGCCAACGTTCCACGAAACCACGCAGGTGGAGCCGTGGTGCGCCGCGCACCAGCGGGACATGAGTAATGCGATGCATGCTGGGTTTCTTGCGTGCAAATTGCCGTCGTCTTGCGTGCAAGTTGCCGTCGTCTTGCGCGCGACAGCGTCGGGGTTATTTTCATCCTTGTGAAAAGAAATCACACTTTGCGCGCCTGAATCGAACGGGTGCCAACCGTCCCAGTGACTTTGGGTGAAAAGAATATGGATCACCAGCGGGACGTTAGTGACGCGGTGCTTACATGGGGTTCTGGCGCGAACAACTTGTTGCGGCGCGCGAGAGAGCGTCAGGGAATATCTTCATCAAGTTCATCCTAACTTACAGAGTAAAAAAATTTAAAAAAGTTGCAAACTTCAGCTTACGGAAATGTCCCACTCCCGAGTTGAACGGGTGCCTCCGCCTACCGTTCAAGTTTTCTAAGCATTTTCTCACCATATGGAGCGGCGCACTTCTGGTTTATCTTTGTCCTTGAAGAAAAAAGTTAATCTTTCTCCCATTGTTTATGTCCCACTCCCGAGTCGAACAGGTGCCTCCGCCAGATATGCACGTAATCCATCATATTCATATTTGGAGCGGGGGTGCGCCGCGCACCAGCGGACATGGTGCGTACCTACTACAGTAGGTGTCTTGAACCTTCGAGCGCACGGTATGCTGCGCGCGCTAGAGCGCTCCCGAGATTCTCCGGAGTCCTGTCCATGTAAAAAAGAAAGCACGTCATGTATCTGCCATAGGGTACAGTTTTTAAATAATATCGGTCTAAAAACTGGTTTTTAAACAGTTTAAAAAACCAGGCTGTGAACGTGTTTGCAAACTGTGTGCCTCAGGCCAAAAGGTGACCGGAGATCTTTGATCATAGAGTCCAAACTATCTATGTCAGATGTATTCTTCACCTTCCTAGACCCCTTTGCATTCACTCCTATGTCTGAAAATCCATTATCGTTGGGGATCAGAGTGTCGCGACTCGCTCAGCTAGGATTATGACTCTATCCTCACTGTTGAAGTTTGAACTGTGAGGGTTCAATACATAACCCCCAGCAGCAAGGGAATTTTACATATGATTATGATGCTCCCAAAATGGGCGTGTTTTGGCTAGTGCTCTCTCTGGTTTATACACCGCCGGGTGCTTCACCAAAACATTTAAAAACTGACTGTTTATAAAGCCGGTTTTTAAACCAGTTTTTATGTAAACAGTCCTAAAAAAACTGCACCCCAATCGGCGCCTCTTTTCATGTTTTCATGTCCTGCGCCCGAGTCGAACGGGTGCCTCCCCAACGTCCCACGAAGCCACGCATGTGTGCGCCGCGCACCAGCGGGACATGAGTAACGCGATGCGCGCCGGGTTTCTTGCGTGCAAGTTGCAGTCATCTTGCGCAGCGTCGGGGTTATTTCATGCTTGTAAAAAGAAATCACATGCACACTTGAGATCCCTGCATGTCCCGCGCCTGAATCGAACGGGTGCCAACCGTCCCAGTGACTTGGGGTGAAAAGAATACGGATCATCAGCGGGACGTTAGTGACGCGGTGCGTACATGGGTTTCCGGCGCGAACAACTTGTTGCGGTGCGCGAGAGAGTGTCAGGGACTATCTTCATCCTAAAAAAAGTTTACATCGTCTGAAACACAGTTACACTATGTCCCACTCCCGAGTCGAACGGGTGCCTCCGCCAACTCTCGAGCCGTCAATATGGAGCGGGGGTGCGCCACGCACCAGCGGGACATTAGTGACGCGGTGCGTACCTGGTTTTCGAGTGCAAAGTACGCGGCGCACTTCTGGGTTTCTCTTCGTCCTTGTAGAAAAATGTTGTCGTCCCAACATCCTTTACTATGTCCCACTCCCGAGTCGAGGGGCCTCCGCCGAATCTCTGCAGTTGCGGCGAAATCTGATATATGGAGCGGGGACGCGCCGCGCACCAGCGGGACGTGAGTGACGCGGTGCGTGCCGAGTTACGTGCAACTTGAAGTTGTGCGCCACGCGCGAGAGAGCTTCAGGGTTTCATCTTTATAAAAAAAATGTATCATTATATCTGCTGAGCATTATGTCCCGCGCCCGAGTCGAACGGGTACCTCCGCCTGCCGTTCAAAGGTTATGTTACTATTATGGAACGGGGTGCGCCGCGCACCAGCGGGACGTGAGTGAGGCGGTGCGTACCTGATTTTATTTTAGTGCAGGTTGAAGTTTTTGCATGTCCGAGTCTCTCCTGCCATCATCCGATATCAGCGAAGTCACAGCGTGAAAGGCAAAATAAAACGGGCCAATTCGAATGAATTATACTAGTACTATAATGGTTCGAAAAATGGACAGATTTTTTGTGTACTAATATAATTTGGCTGGATTCCATCCTAGAATCGAAAGAGATACGGTCCAAAAATTGGGCCAAGATAAGATGGATATCTTGGCCCCAGAAAATGGCCTGTTTTTCAGCAAAGATCTACCACAGATAATGGTGCAACATCTGAACTCACATTGGAGAGAGATAGGGCACCATTTTATGTACCATTTTTGCCCTCAGAAAATGGTACATAAAATGGCACCTAAAAAGAAAAGATATCTTGGCTGACAAAATGTGGGCAAGACACAAAAGATATAATGGCCCATTTTCATGATGACTATGAAAATTGGGCCATTATATCTCTTGTATATGAAAAATGGGCCATTATATCTCTTGTATTTTGGCCACATTTTGTCAGCCAAGATATCTTTTCTTTTTAGGTGCCATTTTATGTACCATTTTCTG